TGAAGATTTTGGCATATGTCAAGAGTTATCCTGGCAAAGGATTGTTATATAAGAAGCATGGACATACTCACATTTCGGCTTTCTCTGATGCTGGCTACGCAGGAGACATGGGAGACCGGAAGTCAACCTCAGGATTTTGTACTTTTGTTAGAGGTAATCTTGTGACTTGGAGAAGCAAGAAACAAGATGTAGTATCACGATCTAGTGCAGAAGCCGAATATAGAGCAATGGCTCACACTGCTTGTGAGATGGTGTGGCTAAAAAAGTTTATGACAGAGCTTGGTTTTGTTCAGCCTGGACCCATGCCAATGCATTATGACAACCAGTCTGCCATTTATATTGCACAGAATCCTGTGTTTTATGAGAGGACAAAACATATTGATGTTGACTGCAATTTTGTTAAAGATGCTTAGGAGAAGAAGATAGTATCTCTCATATTCACTCCGTCCTCACAACAACTTGCTGATATTCTTACCAAGGCTACTTCTTCAAAGGTGTTCTCTACTATATGTGACAAGCTGGGCATGGTAGACATCTATGCTCCAGCTTGAGGGGGAGTGTTAAGTTAAATATTGGGTATTGGGTTAATGGGCTGTTACCCGTTAATCTTAACCCTATTTGTATGGCTATATATATCTTTCTTGTTATTCTCAATAAATAATAATTAGGGTTTTCTCTATTTTCTACAGTATTGTATACATGTAGAGATACAATAAAAACACTAAATACAAAGTTTTTCCTACTTTATAGGATTTTCTAGATATTTATTTAAACTTCAAGGAATTTTTAGAGCTAGTAAACACAGGAACTAGTCTTTCTCCGAGAAAAAAAAAGTTGATTGTACAACTTATAACATATCCAACACATTTTTTTGGATTTTTCTGTGGGCCCACCTGTATATCTACCTGAATTTGACCCTGATCCCAGCCACTTCAAGATCCTAAAATGTGTAGAATTAGGTTTTCCAATAGATACTTTAGGGCTAGGGTTCATAGGAGTGAGACTAAAATTTTGGAGATTGTTCTACATCAATTCTATAAGGAGATTTTTCGTCAATCGGGTAGGGTTACATTGCTCCTTTATAATCTTCATATTTTTCAACATCTTTTTCAATAACCTATTGTCGGCAATGTTTTAAATGTCGGTTATCGGGGATTTATCGGACGATCAAAATCCTTATCAGATAGCGAAAATCGGGGATATATCGGGGATAAGTAGTATTTATCGGAGTAATATATCAAAATCCTTATCAGATAGCGAAAATCGGGGATATATCGGGGATAAGTAGTATTTATCGGAGTAATATACTAGCAAATAATAAACAAACATAAGCTTGAAAAAATATAATGTTAGTTAAAATGGAATAATAAACAAGCAAATAATAAAATAACATCAAGAATGAAGAATCATCTACGCATCTACATAATTATTGTTTAATCATGAAACTCATAAACTAACTTACTAAGTTGATATTTAGTAGTTATGAGCCATTATCAATATCCATAAACAAACATAAGCTAATCACCAATCAACCAAGTTCTAAAAGCAACAAATAGTTCATAATTTGTAAACATTCAAAGAGCAAATCCAAAAGAAAGTAAAAGCTCCTAAATCCTACTTATCGTCCGATAAAGCCGATATTTAGAGCCTATTTATCGACCGATAAGTGCCTTTATCGCCGATAACTCGCCGATAAACCTCAAAAAACGATAATCGATTAAAAATCCTACTTATCCTAGCGAAAAGCTCCCAAATCCGATAACTCGGCGATAATATCGGATTATCGGTCGATATTTAAAACCATGATTGTCGGCAATCAATCTTGTGTTCATCTCTATTTTCCTGTGATTTTTAAGTTATTTTCTCAATAGAAAAGTTGTATTTGTAGTAAATTTGTAAATTAGATTATGTTACATTGAAAAGATAGTGGTTATATTGCATCTTGATCTAGGGTTTTATATTTGGTTTGTTTTGTGCATTAAAACATGTATAAACAAGTTTAAAATAAACAATATGTTTATACCATGAAGGAGGGTGCAACGTGACAATCGACAGAGCGACAAGGAGACATCGAGGTGGAGCATACCGTTGGCTAGTCCGATCGGTCAAGACAACACCAGTAGTGCACCGCCAGTTTGATCGGCCATTGTACCGCCAGTCTGAGCCCGATGTTTTGACCAAGCGTACACCGACAATGAAGGGTGGTTGGTCCTACCGACCCCTAAACTGTTTATGCCCGTGCATAATGGTTTATATGATATTTGATGATGTTTTTATGATGAAACACAAGACTCCAGACCTTACCAAAACATGTTAGTGAAATTAATTTCCTAATGATTACAATAGATGACCTAGATAGACATGTTTAAGGATTAGATATTTGAGATTACAATACCTAGTCAATAACATGTTTTATACAGTCCTTACATAATAAAAGATAAAAAGGTATGTTAAAAGGGGAATAACTAGTACAAGTTTTATCGACAGGGTGGGGACATGATAACAGGATCTACACAGAGACGTGTCAAGTGCCATTGAGCCAGAAATACCATTCTGTCCCTGTTCAGACCTCAATCTCCTTGTATTGCATTCCAAACAAAATCAAACTGCTAACATTTACTAGGTTTACACTAGAAAGCACTACATTGCAGTGCAACATTTACATTTATGTTTATGATTCTTTGTTATTTATCTTTACTGCATTTCATATCATGTTTTATTGCTTATCTTAATTCTTATGTCTTTGAATACTAATCGAACATGCTTATTACTACAAGTATATCTATCTGCCAGCTTGTATCTCCTCTTTCTTTGATACTATAGAACTCTTAGTCAACAAACAGGATAATTTCACACCAAATCAGGCGTTATATCACAAGCAGGTGGAGGACCATTAAGTAAAGATTTGGAGGACTTTCAGTAGGTCAGCTCATGACCCTAGTAGTTATTTTATTTCATTTCAGATTTTGTATTTTGGATATCTCATGTTTGACGAATTAGACTAGATTTTAGGTCATCTTTTTAGACTCGCGTTGACATTCAAAATCTTATGCTGCTTTGGCAAACCTTTTTATTATAGAAACCCTTTCAGTTATCTGTGGTTGTTGATGTTTTTTGTCATTATATATTGTTTTGATGTGATGTGTGAAATGTGTGTAACTCTGGATTTTATAAAATGGATTGGTATGTATATTTTGGTTTAGCGTATATGCCACCATCCCGCTGCTAACTCCATGAAAGGAGGTCATGGATTGTGACAATTAAATACAGGTCTATCCCCAACTCTGGATTCTCCAACACATAATACTATATGATAAAAGTAATAGCACGATGTCACCAGCAAATGCAACCCTTTGGCCAAAAATAACTGCATAGCTATACCATCCAAGGAATGGACAGTGCAACAAGAAGCCGAACAGACTTAGACTTCATTGCTGTAGGAGGATTCTAGTGGCAAAAAACACCAAACTTACTTTTAAAATAATATAATAATAAAAAATTAAGAAAAACAAAATTAAAAATAGAAAATCTTTATGATTCTTTTTCTCAAAATTTGTATTTGGCGATACCAAAAGATTAAATTTCAAAAAATACTATGAATAATTTCGTCATTTTCTCTGAACTTTGTTAATTCTACTTATAAGGAACTATTATGAACTATTTTAGAAAATATTTCCTATCACCATATGTTTATGATCACATGACATGTTCGTGATACTTACTGACAATATACCCCAATTCTTAAAAATCTTTAGTTTTGAAATATCAAATTTATTTACTTTTATGTCCTCATTTGATATTTCTTCTCCCTTGACAACTTCTTCTATCCTTTCTTAGAACCTAAATATCATTCAATTCCCACTTCAATCACCAACCATTTTCAACTCTCGATAATTTATCTACCTCACTACCGAAAAAATCATTACGCAAAATCTAATGTTTCCATTCATATTCATTGCATTTCCAAACCAATCAGTAGTTCAAAAATCCTGCCACAACTTGAAGAGAACTTTTGTCATGGTTTTGAACGAAAAGAATTGGGAAAGATTTAGGCAATGTGCATTTTTACAAAAATACCTTTTGATATTATAGCAGAGGGCTCTTTTTCCCCAAAAATTCAAATTTTGTTAAAAAAATTAAATGGTAATCTTGAACCTATTGTCAATTTTGAATCAAATCCTGGAGTTGCTTTGTGTGGGCCAATAGAGCACAAAGGAGGTTCACCAGACACCACCAAAATCTGTATGGGTGTTTAACTTGTTAACATCATTCATTTAACTATCTCCCACCCAATCCAGAATGCAATAATATTCTATGGTTGTAAAATCACATTCCCAAGGCGAAGCAACAATAAGGTCCAAGTCCAACAGTGATGATGAACTGCAAGAAAGTTCATTTTCTGCAAAGTAGCTCTTCTAGATTTTAAACTATTCTCTGGTCTTCCCTTAGCTCTTTCCTCCCCCTCCTCATTTCCCTTACACTTAATGAGAGTGATCAAAGTCTGTCTAGCCACTGGCTATATTCAGGTAACAAGGTTTATTTCCTCCTAAGTTATTTCAGTTCAGTTTCCATTTTTTCTTTTGAATAACCTAATTAACTGCAGACAAAATCATATCTTCGAAAAACTTCAAGACTCATATTAGAATATCATCAGAACCTACAACCATCCTAGCTTATATTTTGTTTAAAGCATTGTTGACTTCACTAATTCAACAATACCAAGAGTTCTAACCATCGCTTGAACCATTTGGTATAGAATTATTTTCTTCCTCTCATTCCTCCAAATAGAGAATTTCTTAACCTCCAGTAATTTATTCGGAGGCCCATTTAGGCACGGAATTAGGCACAATTTTTACCTAGCCAATAGAGCAAACAATGTGATCCATGGACATGCCAACTAACCCTAACTCAAACAAATACGGTCCTAGTAGATCAGGGTATCAATACAAGTCAAGATGTTAGTTCAGTTGATTGCCTGATCAAATCCAAATAATGCAGATATTACGAAGTCTGCATTAGCACTTTGTTTCTTGCCTTACATATTGTTTTAAAAACAAGAAATACCAAAAAGAACAAAGTATACAGTTACAAGTCTTCGAATAAGATGGGAAAACAAACAGTAACATAGAAGTATTCTTAAGCAATATAAAACTCAAGGAAATAACATCTACCCATTCAAGTTCAAAAAGAAAAACCTGCACACAGCCCCTATGAAGTGCACCTCCGCCCAAATATTCATTTGCAAAATCTACTTCAAGCGCGTCATATTTCTGGTCTTCTATCAAGCCTGAAGAAAATGCCTAATCAAAAAAGAAAGATTGCAGGTCAATCTTTATAAAGTGTAATGGACCAATATATCCAAGTAAAGGATTATGATGTTAAATGTATATTACCAAACTGAAAATGGAAGTTGGGAAAGCTATTAAAGTTGCAAGCATTAAGGTGAATAAATGATAATCAAGGATAAGATTGTCAAAAATCACAGATAGTTCATTCAGTCTTATTCTCAAATTGCAAAAAGCAGCATGGACGAAACCCTTTTTGGGAAGAAAATACATGGTCCTTTGGTTCACAAAGTGAACTGCTTGCTATTTGATTTTAGTTTTACCTTGAACGGACAAAGAGGAACAGTGGATTTCCTCCAGAGAACAGCCTCAGGATATGAAATGCTAAAAGAACTCTGCTCAAATGGAATAACTTTGCGCTCAAATGACACAAAACCAGTGGGCATGCTTAAAGATATCCTCTCGAAATAGTGAGTTAGGCATTTGATTTTCTGTTCTTGGTTCTGTTTAAAATTTGGATGGAGGGACCTGGAAAAGAATAAGCAATTTTAGTACATCTTTAGAAAACTATTACATTCAGAAAGTAGAATGCAGGCCTCATGTTAATCTGACCAAACAAGGTTTCAATCCGACCCTTGAAATTTCAACATTGTTATGCAACAACCACAAAGCCTTTACCTCAAACTTCAAATATTTAATTACAGTTTGAATACTTCAGAAAATTGTTTGACGAAACATGGTTTCCATCTGACAAGTGAAAACTTCAACATTGTTATACAAGAACAACAAAAGCAACATCAAATACAACAGCAGCAACATCAACAACAAGAAGAAAGCCTTTAACCCAAACTTCAACATTAATTATGGAAAATTGTTTGAGTAGTTTAGATATGCCATATAGGATGGCAAGAGGATCAGATATCCAAAAATCAACCAGATTCTATTTTTTTCTTCGAAGTATGAAAGATGACAGAAATATTACTTTTGATTTGAGATCAATAACCCTTTATACTACAAAGTACATATGTTACATGAATTTCCTTGTCACAGTAGTTCCACACTGTATTTAATGCCAACATAAGGTGATGAGCAAACTGTGAAATTTTTTCGTGATTGAGTCGCACACATCCTAAAGGAATAGACATGAATTTGCCTAATATTATTACTGTATGCCCCATCCCATAAGGCAAATCTGCTTTATGATGTCTGTCAGGATCTAATTAATAAAATAAAGGCAGAAGTTATGAGAGGCTTATTAGCCAGCAAAGGAGCTGCAGTGTCATGCCTTTCTTTTATAAAAGCCCTTCACAATCTATAGAATTTCATTAAAGCCTAAGAAAATCAACTGCTGCAAATCATAGAGGATAATAATCTTTCTCATTTGCATTGCATTGCACATGCATAAGATTTAGTTAAAAAAACCATCATAGACATGGAGATAACAAATCTCATAAGATACAAATATTAGGAGTCCGTTTAATTGGCTAAACAAATAGACAGAACTTTCCCTTACTCTCATGTTGACTAGTCGTCTGCTCCACTTAAATTGGAAGATTTTTCATGAAAACAGTAGGTATCTTAATTCTAGTTTGTTCAAAGTAAAGTCAGTCATGGAGAGGAGAAAACATTATTCAGATATATGAGCTAGGCACAACAGTTTCCAGTTTGATAGACCACGAATGGAGAAGCCAGGGTGGGATGCCAATTCCAACAAGCAACTCTACGTTCTCTGATTTTCCCAACACAATAGCATCATTCTGGTACATAGCATGCTTTCTTTGACTTCCATACAAAATATCATTATTCTGAGAAGTGTCCCCAGTTAGGCACAAGGGCGCTCAAGCACGGTGCTCTCATTAAAACAAAGAAATGTAGCCGCTTTGAAGTTTGAATTTGTCAAACAGGTCATATCAAATCCGAATTCGAACCCAAATACAAAAGGTGTTACGAAAGCCAAAGAAAGACCCCTGCCCATATTCAATGCTGCTGCCCCAAGGTGCTGATAATGGTCAGAGTTTCTGTGACAAGCTTCGATACATCCAAAAGGTAATCTCTTGATTTTCTGTTTTCCTTCTTCTTTTTCGCTTTTATTTATTTATTGCCTTGGAGTTTTTAGCTCCGATACTCTCTTCTTCTCCTCCTCCTCCTCCTTTTCTCTCTCTGTTTTTCTTCTTCTCTCTCACTCTTCTGTACTTTTCCTTTTTTCATTGTTTTTTTATTTCATGAATTTTCTGTATATTTAACAAGGTTATCGATAGCGGATAGCATCGTATAGCGGTGAGGCATTGTTAAGACTATTTGGGGCTATTGCGGCAAAATAGCAGTAAAAAACGCAAAGTCAAATAACGGCCTAATTTAGATATGTATAAATATGAAAAAAAGAAAAATTATAAAAAGTTTAGAAAATCTAAAAGTGCATTTGATGATTTAAAGAGATCCTAAACATAAATAGATATGTAACCGTCACATAATACCGAAGACAACTGGAGAAATCAAAGAGTTGTCATCTTCGAGAAGATGAGCTAAGCAATGAGAAGCCTACACTAGGAGGAGCTCACGGCGAGAGTAAGTGAGAGGAAGTGTTGAGGGAGGTGCCAGAGGGAGGTGCCAAAGGCTAGAGAAGCAGCGGGAGTACGCCGGAAAGCGAGGGAGGCGGTGGGATGTAGTTGTTGTGGGTCGGGTTTAACTTTAAAAAAATAAATCTCAAACCATTTTTAAATAGCGATAAAAAAGCGGATTTTGCCCGCAATTGCCCGCTACTCACTGATGTGGTGCACTATTGGCCGTTTTTGTAAGCAAAAAACGTATATTTCGCAATATGTCACCGTTATTGGGCAACAACATAGCGTAGCGGAAAGGGACCGCTAACGCTATTAGCACAGCTATTGCGGGACTATTTATCACTATTTATAATAGTGATATTTAATACTCTTATGTATTTAGTAGAACTTTTCTAAAAAAATAAAATGGAAAAAGATGCCTACATAGTGCTTAGGCATCCATCCTGGTGGCTAGTCTGATGCCTAGAAGTGCCCAACAATTTCTAAAATACTGCAAAATACATCAGGTACGTAATGAAGCGGAAAGCAATATGATAAGAAATTGAACTAAAATCGCATGTCATAAATGACTGGTTAACATTATGACCTGACATGTCATGCATGACATGCATACGAAATGTGCCAGAGCTTCTACATGAGGCTACTAGAAGAAAAGGATAAGTGATTGAACCATGTTATGCTCCTGGTTCACTGGTCTTTGCCTATGAATCTGTTCAAAAAATCTGCCAATGTAGAAACTGTCCTATCCAAAAAATTCTCCTCTGGTAAAACATACGTAAAGGCAAAATGAAACTAACACAGGAAAAGCTCTCACATTAACAGGCGCTAATTTATGCCCTTTCAGTCAGTAATGCATTGTGGACAACAGTTTGTAGTGCCACAGCACAGTGAAGCGTCTTTCAGCCAGCACATAAAGGTGATGAATGGTTCATTGGTATCAGATTTCCCTTATTCAACCTCACTAATTCATGCACCTTCATTCAGTTATGCATTGTGCACAAAGGTTTGCAGCCCCACAGCACAGTTAAGTGCCTTCCAGCCAGCTCGTAAAGGTAATGAATGGTTTGTTGATATGATGGTATCAGATTTCCCTTATTCGACTTCAAGCTTTTCGGTTTCATCTCACACAATCTTAAAGACAGTACAGACAGACACATATGAATCCTTTCTGAACAAAACACGTCCTCATAATATTAGCATAACTTTCTGACCACAAAGATCTATCATGATACTAGAAATCTACAAAGTGTATATAAAAATGATAAGCAGGAATACACGATGAAGCAGATATCTCCAAGAATCACCAAGACTGACATACGCAAATAAATAGTCAAAGTTGATAGTTGGAAGATAATTTTCACCCCTGGTACTCGCAGGAAACAAGCAGAAGAATGCACAAGCAAGTAAAGCAGCTATCAACTCCTGAAACAAATAACAAAAGCCACTTTAAATTGGTCGAATTTAATATTTGCATAAAGCATGTATTCAACAAGTTCTTATAAGAAACAATGTCTAATTTTAATCTGTCTGATGAAATTGAAGGAAAAGTAACTACCCCAGAAAGTGATTTCTACAATTTGATGATTCAAAGAAAGCGGAGAGAGGGATAACTGTAGTGTAGCTATATTTTTCTATCATTTAAGAACTTTGTTCCTTATGGTAATGAGCATGAAAGGTAACAATTGAAGTCTTCTCCTTTCACCGGTTAATATTTTTTTCTGATAACTACATATATAACACATCTGCAAGAAAAGTAGAAGCAGAGTTGCAGCATCATTAGTTCACAAGCTACAATGAAAATAGTGCTTACCTGATTGAGAAACACAATGCCTGGTTCTTGCTGATACATTATCCGAAGCCCAGATTTTCCTTCCCCAACATTTCCATCAGAATCATGGTAGTGTGCTTCCAAAAGAGAAGGCAACCGGAGCAACAAATTAGCCAGTGCTGGAATTACCTCTCCAAACCACACCCTGGAATTCATTCTAGATATCAGCTGCCAGAAAAAGAGAAGAAGAATCTTTTCTCAGTGTGTTCAAAACCCTCAAGACTTTCTTTGACTGAAGTTCCTAACAGCATAACATTTTGCAATTCAACAATGCATACTCAGTTGTACTTGGTCAACATTCTCAAATTCACAAAAGAAGAACCTATGTCATATGAAATGCATTATTGATTAAATACTTTCTTGAAAGAAATTGATTCAGTGGCAAGATAATAAATTATAGATTTCAAACCATTCACAGAACATTCCTGGTATAATTATAATAGTTCAAACTGCTGGTTTTTGTTAGCTTGTTGTTCCTACTGCAATTTGGATCATCTTCTAGTTACTTCCAATTTTCTTCTAAAAATAGATATTACAACTGCACATCCTTCTGTTTTATATTGTAAACATTTTTTGCCTGGAAGAAATTTTCACTTTAAACTCATTCCCAAATTTAATCCCTAAAACCAACTCATTCTCAACTTATTTATGAAAATCAACCCACTTTCTCGTCATGTCAGCGCTGTGGCGAGAAAGCGGGTCGATTAAGTTTAAAACGCTTTCGTAAACAGTCGGGGTTGGCAACCCCGATTGTTTAGTCTATCCGCAGAATTTCGGCTTGGTTTCCCATTAACTAATTAGTCGGGGTTGGGAACCCCGACCAATTAGAAATAGCCTATATCGAAATGGTCGGGGTTCCCAACCCCGAACCCCGACCATTTCGTGAGTTTAAAGCTTTGCATTATTATGAGGACTCTCATTATCATCGACCACATCCTCATACCCATGAACCCTGCACTAAATCATGCAAGAAAATAATTAAATTCCCAAAGATCGTGAGTTTAAAGTTTGCATTATTTACTTCTCGTGCCATCGATACTCCACTGGAAGCATCAACTTATTTACTTCTCGTGCCATTATTTGTAGAGAGCCTTCTCGTGCCATTGATAATAGAAAGTATTATATTATATTTTATTATTTGTAGAGTCTTTTCCAGTGTTTGGCTAAGTAACACTTAAAATATTCTAACTCACGAAATGAACCCCGACCATTTCGAAATAGGCTATTTCGAATTGGTCGGGGTTCCCAACCCCGACCAATTAGTTAATGGGAAATTCCTTGCTAATTTAGTCGGGGTTGGCAACCCCGACTAATTAGCATGCGGACAGACTAAACAGTCGGGGTTGCCAACCCCGACTGTTTACGAAAGCATTTAAAACTTAATCGACCGGCTTTCTCACCACGGCGCTGACGTGGCGAGAAAATGGGTCGATTTTCATAAATAAATTGAACATGAGTCGGTTTTAGGGATTAAATTTGGGAACGAGTTTAAAGTAAAAATTTCTTCTTTTTGCCTGATAGTGAAGACCAGTTGTTCATTTTTACTTCATGATAGACCCATTAGTGTACAAAAACACACTTCCTTCACATAAAATGCAATGCATCTAAGGTATAGTGTTCCCGACATCTATGATTACAATACCTATATGATTAGGATACCTAAAATCAAAAAGAAAAAGCTTCATTCAAATTCTTAATAGATTATTATGCAGAAAACATCATCTTGCATAAGCAATATTATATTTAGAAACTTTTTAATGATCAGCATAATTTTATACTCTTCATGGTTATAGAGCACTCATAGTTCGGAAAGAAAATAATATGACAATTCAATTTGTTAGTTGTGGTTATATCTTTATCAAGGTACAATACAAGCTTGAGAGTATGGGCCTCAACATTATTGATAAGGAACTCATGATGCTTCCCTTATCTTCGTGATGCTTCCCTTAACAAAGCAAACAAATGCTTTGGACATCCAAATATCAATTCGAACCTTCTTGATACTTAGGACTGCACCAAAACGAAAAATTTATCATATGAAGTACAAAATGGTTCATGCACACACTAGAGTTCACAAAGGCGAATGCTGATGAGTTCCAGGCTATTGCATAAGTATTTGGCACAAAAAGATTGTTCCTAGAATCAGAGGAACAGGAAGGAAAAGATATGTGGAATGATGCTACGCATGAAACATAGTGCAATATTTTGTAAGAAGGAAGCCAAACTGGTAGTTTTGTTTTTTGTTGATTACTAGTTGCAATCATGGTGGATTTTTTTATTATATTTGTAGATACATGAAGAAAGCAATTACATCATCCAAAAACAAATTGGAATCATAATAGACTAGATCTTTGTAACTGAGGTTTTAAATTCTACTCATGAAACAAAGGTTTCAACATGAAACAATATGGTAAAGTGAGGTTTTGATAGCTTTAGTGATATGTTCTGACCAATTCACAAAACAGTAAACACCTGATTCAATTAAGTCATTTATCACAACTAGAATGGAGTTCGGATAACTCCATTGTTAGAAAATGATCAGATATCACATACCTCAACTCTCCTTGAAGACTGAGACATCATAAATTGGATTTTGATAACTACAGCTACAGCTATCCAAAGGGTTTGCATAAACTATGCCGCCCATTTGAAAGATATCTCTGGTTATGCAGTGACACATAGGTCGCCAAACATAATCAAATTTAATCAAAATTTCCAAATCATCAACCCAATTCCAAAAGACCTCTGCAAAAATCTTGATTTACTACAAACCCACACATCCAAACTCATTAACAAACAATACAGCGTCAACTCATAGAAAAGACAAAATAAAGCTTGGGAAGAGCAAATGCATCAAAGAGAGAAAACTAAGGTTCTTACCTCGTCGAAGAAGAGAGCGTACCCTTCTGCCGCTCTCCATGCCAACGGATCACCGGCAAGGCCAACGGATTCTCTGAGATCGAGGATGGCGTCAAATAAAACCTCTCCTGAATCAACTCTGCTAAGATCGGGGCCCAACGCTAGGGCTTTGAGGGATTCCAGGGCTTTCGGGGGCCAGAATAGAGATAAAGAGCGATGGATCAGGGGCAGATAGGGAAGAATCGACTTCAAATCTTCTCTGGTCTCTTCCATCTGGGAGAGAAAAATCAGCGGGAGAATTTCAGGAGAGAGATGAGACGACAAACCTCCTTTTCTGAACGAGATATTTTTAAAATCAACCGTTTTTTAAACATAATAAGCAAAGAGGGTTGCTACCCGACCTAAAATACGGAACCAATATAGGGGAAACGTGAGGTGTCCCCTCCTTATTGTATAATGAGTTGGTAAGTTTCCTATTGCATAATGAGTTGGCAAACCAGCCAACTCATTATGCAATAGGGAGGGGATACCTCACATGTCCCCTCCATTGGTCCCATATTTTGGGTCCTTAAATCATTTTCTATAAGGAAAATCCACCTTTTTCCCAAAAAACTAGTATTTAAACCCGTGCAAAGCATGCATCCTAAAAGAATTTTGTCTTTTTTTTATTATTTATTTTTGCAGTCTTTGACATAAAATCATTCTAAAAGGCTAAATACCCATATTGATATTTTAATTCCACCTCATTTACCAATAAGGTAATTTAATTAGACAAATCTGTTTTAAGGTAATATAATTGATTTAACTTACCAACAAGACCATTTTTCTCGTCGGCGGCCAGTTTTTCGGCGAGAGCTCGTCACGTGCATGACACGTGATGACTTAAACTGTTATTTGGCTGCTGATGTGGTTTGGATCTGTCCTATTTTGGGTGAATTGGGATTTTTAGAGTGTTAATTCCCGCCTTTAAATACTACAACGTTAGAAAATCCGTGCCATATCAGCAGCTAAAAAATAGTTTAAGTCATCACGTGCCACGCACGTGACGAGCTCTCGCCGGAAAACTGGTCGCCGGCGAGAAAAATGACCTTGTTGGTAAGTTAAACCAATTAAAATGCTTTAAAACATGTTTGCCTAATTAAAATACCTTCTTGGTAAATAGGATGGAATTAAAATACCAATATAGGTATTTAGCCCATTCTAAAATAACATGTAGATGTTCATGATGCTAGAAAGGAACCCAAAAAGTCATATCTAAACTTCTTCAGATGTTTGTTGTAATGCATATAACTTAAGTTATTATGACAGTGTTAAATTCAAAAAAAAATCTATAGAAAGAAGGTACAGTGTAACAAATTCATCTTTCTTTTATAGATTCATATTAAACCTGAAACATATCCACTTGAAGTATAAGATATAACGAAGCAAGCATCTGATATTATAAATCCCCTGCCAGCTTCCCTTACTTGCCGACAGGTTGGTTACTTACATTGTTAACAGCCACAACCAAAGGTTACTAACAAACAAAGTTTCCATAGCTTAAATACAAAGCACACTTATATTTAGTGAAAACTTTATACATCAGAAAACATTACAAAAGCAACCTGCACATGGAAACATAGTTTTAAACAGATTTGTAGACGCAACACTAGAAATATAACTGGGTCATTGACAACATTATACACAGCTTTGTATCAGCTACTATTCAGCCTAACAACATCAATTGTATCAGCTACCATATCAGAAACAACAGGAGGACCATTAACAGCAACAACAACATGATCAACTTCTTCTATCCTCCTTTTTTTTTGCTCTTGTTGCACATTAGCTCATGGAATCTGTAGTGAACATTATCTATCCAAAAAAAGTAAAAGTGTTTAATCTTTACCCAAATTTCCAGAGCATGACTCTTTTTATTCTTAAAAATTCTATTATTATGTTCATGCCAAACCAACCATAACAATGCATCCACAAAAATACACCAACAAACTCTTTTATTTTCAGGAATTTTATCAGTTCTCCACCAAGGCCATAAATCTCTTAGGTCGTCAATATTTCCATGAACTTGAAAGTTATGCAAAAGAGATCTCCAAAGAGAAGAAACATAATCACAACTTAAGAACAAATGAGAATAGGTTTCATCTAGACATGAAATTATGAAGGGCCTCTTGATAATATTATCGATCTGAAACATATTGGACAGAGGAGATGTTTGCTTCGTTATCTCCTATACTTCAAGCGGATATGTTTTTGTGAGTGAAAAAAAAATTGTAGAAATGATATGTGAATGATAAATCAAGATAGAAATGATATGTGAATGCAAAGGATACAAAAATTATACCATCTGATGTCAAATTTCTTGTGAGCCTCTCTGATTATCGATCTGCATCAATTAAGAATAGAAACCAATAAGTAATAAAAGTTCAACAGACTCACTAAAGTAGTAGCAATTCAATTACAAATTTGTGAAAACGGGGCTAAAATCCAACAGTTTAAGTTAAAAGACTTTCAAATAATTCAATGTCTACATACATTTTGTCATAATAGTTTCCAAAATCTTCATGTGACCCAAATCAAGCCAAAAGAACCTTCCCCAATTCAAACATACCCGACTCGAATCTATCAAAAAAGAAACCCCAATCTCACAGACACTTGGGAATTTTTTGCATGTATGTAAAAAATCTAAGATTATTAGGCCCCTTAACATTATTAGAAACTAAATGAGAAAGATTGCAAGTATGTATATACTTTTAGCTAGTATCTACTCGCTGGCAATTTCTATATAAGCTCATAAAGTAAACACGGAGTCATTGACATTTCTTAAAATCCCAATCCAGTATTCAATACTATCAAGTAGCTGAAATGAAACATATTAGATAAAGAAGTCACCCAATCCAATAATTTTAACCATCGACTCTCTGTGATTGTCACTTGACCTGAAGAGAAAACAATAGCCCCGACTTAGTACTCATGAGAAATGCAAACCATGGCACTGAAATAAAACCAAACTTTAGCAATCTTTACTCTTAGTACTAAATTTTTAACTATTTGAAAAGGTTGCTACCTTTGCCATCATATTCAATGGCCATGGATCTTGAGTTTGAGAAAAAAATCAACAATCAATGAGAGTCTACTTATTCTTTCTTGCGTGGATATCTGTGAGCTTCAAAAGGCTATCCAATCTAAATCCGATGACAAAACCTACATAAGAAGCGTATATGAACACTCAATAGACTTTAAAAATTTACAAATCTAATTAATGTTAGAATCTGCATAAGAAGTGCGTGTGAACAATGTTTATATATATTGTGATATAGCTATTTCACAAATCAACAACAATTTCACAAATCATGAACAAATTCAAATCAAAGGTTGTAGCTTTTTCACAAATCAACAAAAATCTCATTCTTGAACAGACCATAAAGACTCAAACTCACCAAATTCGGCCAATTTCTTCAAAATAAACTTTGACGTCCCATTGTGCTCGGCCCCTACCAACATAGAACCCATTAATAACCAAATCAAGAACAAATAAATTAACCTACACCAAAATCCCTATCTCTTCAACATCAACCATGATGAAAATATGATAAAAACAAAATCAACCAAATGGGTACTTGAGGAGTAGTTGAAAACTAAGATTTGAGGCTGTAATAACTTCATGATAAGATGAAAAATTGAATTATAAAGAAATAAATGCTAAATAAAATAAAAAACTTACCCGACCATATCGGCTGGTAGGATCGACTTCAACGTACCCATCCTATAGTAGCCGCCGACCCTACTTCTTGCTTGAGCATGCATCACTCTTCGCCTTCGCTGGTACCAAAATTGTTCATAAGAGATCAATTGAGGAAAATCGAGGCTGGAACCGAGCGACTCTATAATATATATAGAGAGAGATATTAGAAGAAAAGGGGAAAATTAAGAGACGACGATGAGCAGAACAACGAGGAGGTGGAGAGAGCCTTGGGGATGAATAACAACATCTCAGGCACTTCTGGAGAGTTCTTTCAGAAGTGGGGAATGTGAGAGAGAGAGAGAGAGAGAGAGAGAGAGAGAGAGAGAGAGAGAGAGAGAGAGAGAGAGAGAGAGGAGGAGAGAGAATGTGTGTCGGTATGAGGTGGGGGTGGGGTGGTTTTCCAAAAAAAAATAAAGAGAGATGGAGAGAGGGAGGGAGAATGTGGTAACGTGGGACGTTTGGGCCTAGGAGAACGTAGGAGTACATTGATTATTCATTTTTTTTTTGTTCGGCCGAGACACCGTAGGGTGTCTCGTTGGTCCGAGACACTCCATTGAGGTGTATTCATCCGCTTCCGCTGTAAATTCTTCGTCCGAACTCGGATTTGAGTGATTCGAAATGCGTTGGAAAGCTGACGAGGAGTTCTATCAACCCCGATGGTTAGATCATCTGTTGAATCAATAAGACACGAAGGGTATTGTTCTTTTTGTAAACATCGCTAGGCTCCTGATTAACCCGTACCTTCGTTAGTTCACGTAGTTCGTCGATTCACTTCAATCGTTTATCGACATCAATCGAACTCCTGTGAACCGGATAGTGACGTTCATCGTCGTTCCTTAACACCGAGCTGTTCGTGGAGACCTATAGGCAATTTTCGATGCCTACAGATACCCCCTCCAAAGCGTTCCAGACTCGTTTCTTTTATAGAAGAGGCTGGAATACTTTGGATGTGATTGGTCCAGCCTTCAGTCGGCGTAAAGGACCTGTAGTTAGATTCAACTCTTGGCTCCTTCGATTTTCGATCTATTCAATGCTTTGACGAATAGCCGAAGTTCTTCCAACATTGCGTTTATCGCCTGACCGTCGTCGGAGTCTCGAGTCTATTATCAGTGAGTTGAGTTTGGCTCGTGTCATTGACTTTGAATTGACTATCTCTGTCATATTGTGCTGACTTAGGGTTTCAGATCACCATATGTTGATTTTTTTTGTCGCAACGCGTTGACTGGCATTGACCTAGGGTTACGCGTTGACCGGCGTTGACCCTAGGGTTTCGAATGTCGAACGTTGACTTTTTGTCGCAACGCGTTGACTGGCGTTGACCTAAGGTTACGCGTTGACCGGCGTTAACCCTAGGGTTTCGAACGTCGAACGTTGACCTTTTTTCGCAACGTATTGACTGGCGTTGACCTAGGGTTACGCGTTGACCGGCGTTGACCCTAGGGTTTCGGATCGCCTTTAACATAGTTTATACTCGTGCATTTGCTGGAGCATACACAGTTTAAGCTCTTAAGGTATTGGAGCACGGTGATCCCAAATGTCAGAGCTGCAGGACCAACTGTTAAAGATGATTCATCTGCATGTATAGATCTTATCCTGAAGTTGTTGGATGCTC